CAAACGGTTAACTAAATACTTAATATAACATTTAAAGAAGATTATTAAATTACAGTCGCGTGTATAAATTGTGCTTTTATTTGCTCGCCGGTTATTTATTTTATAGCTAACAAGTCACGTACCACCCCCCCCCCCCCCCCCCCCCACCACGCTGTGTTTCACCGATTTAAATCTTAAGGTGACACAGGCTGTACATACCGTGTACAATAGCTAGGCAGTCGTATATTTCGCATACCGTTGCACGAAATTTCGAGACGACATTTTAATCTATGCGCATTCGTTTGTTATGGTCCTGCGCAGCTATAACAATACGCGTATGCCTGCGCGGCGAAAACGGTCCCGCGTACAGTTTACCGTTCCGTTTCACGATACCGATAATATGCGAAACACATTTACCATTAGGGGCTGCGTGAGGGCCGTAATACGGTTTTCGGACGAAACCAGAGCTAAAATATCGTTTGACTACACCGGATTTAATAAAATATATTGTAATGTTAATTAAACGATTATATTTTTATACTTGACAAATCTGACAATCATACGTTATTATTATTATTATTATTATTACCGTCGCAGAGGTATAATTGCACGTTTTAAAAACAAACGTACTTTCGCGTTATCGAGATTTAATAATTGTATTCGATTTTACACGTTATGTCAATATCATATTAATATGATATTATTACGCGCCGATCACTAAATTTATTTACGTAGGTAATAGATATGTTTATTTCGATCACGAAAAATATTCATGCCGGTTTTTCGGAACGGTAAAGCGTACCTAATAATAGTAATAAATGATAACGTATTATTATAGGTAGATAATGTTTATTTAAATCTGAAAAATAATAATATTTAATACCTACGTTATATTTAATTATATTGTGTTTGTTCTAGCCAAATAATTTTATCGTGCGTAATTTATAGTAGGTACCTACTGCGTTTCGAATATATATTGTTATTGTTATAACTAATAAGTAATAGGTAGGTAATCACTTCTTATATTATGCATAATGCGTTTTAGTTTATAAATAAATATATTTGCAGCAAAATTAATAGATGGAAAGAATGAAATCAAATGAAAATATTATTTCATTAAAATTAAAAAAAAAAAAAAAACACTAAATTTATACAGTAATACCTATTAAATATATAGTGACGACAAGTTATTATATATATATATTTTTTTTTACATTTAAATCGATGTGTGGAAACTTTTTTATAAAATCTTTGTTACATATTCACTTATTTATTTAAGATTTGAAGAAATATAAAAACCATTTGCGACCAATACAATATTATCCTAAGTGAATAGTAAAAGTAATCTGTACAGAGTATAGATTTTTAACTCGGAAGTAATTCGAGGTAGTCACTATATAGGTACGCGTATTTTATGTTCACTTACCTATATTTTCTTTTACGTGCCATATGCTCGTTTGAAATATTATAATATGGTAATTTGCATATCAATCATAAATGTAAAATGCCTATTGACGATCATATTAATTTTAAATTGGTTTGTCCAATAAACCTAAACAAACAAAAGTTATAATATTTAATCTGGGTATATGTAAATTTTTCATATCCACGCTTACAACTTAAGCACACAGAAGATTTGCCATATAGTATGATGTTAAAAAAAAAAAAATTGTGTCGAGTAAGTATAACTGTTTTTTACGATTTATTGACCGATTAAAATAACTCCCATTGACCGTTAATAATAATATATGCATTTTATATGTACATCAAAAGATATTAAGTTATGAGTTATCGATTTGAAGAGAAAGATTTAAATACTAATATTTTAGTACCTAACAATAACGTGGGTAGTTGAGTAATCGGATAGGAAACCTCCAATACAGTTGCATTTTATGAAAACGCAAAACAGGTGATTAAACCAACGACCGCTGCGAACGAATATAACATTAAATATTTAATATTAAAATAAACCCTCCGAACAGAATGAAACGAAAAACCTCTGTTGCCGTGCAGTCAGATTGGAATTGGTAGATATCGACAACGTATTTATATGTGTTTTACAGTGAAACCTCTATATAGTGGACAGCTAAGGGAAATTAAAAAATGTCCACTATAGAGAGACGCTATAGACTATAGAGAGAATTGGTTAAACATATCTATACACTATACGTATACATAACATATACATTGAAATTGCTATATATTAATATATTAATTTATTATTTAATATTTATCATATATACATATACAATATGTATGTAGTAAAAAGTGGGTATAAAAATGTTTATAGAAATTTTAACGTAGGTGCATTAAATATCTATATTATTTATAATGCCTAAATAATTATTAAAATATTTAATGTATACAAATTTTTAGTCGGTATTAGGTCAGTCCATGGCTTGACTGACCATACCCGTAGTTTTGCCTATGAATATGATAAAAATTGATTTAAATATTCACTAATACTAATAATGTTTAAAAAAAAAATTATAGATATATATAATATTATCATTATTCATTACTATAAAATTGGTTTAAATCATTTAATATTTTATTGTTAACATTATAACTACTAAATAACTTATATTGTATACCAATAAGGTCATTATCAAGAATAATAAGTTAGGGATGTAAAAAAAAAAAATTGTCTGTCTAATAAATAATAAAAATTGAGATAAAATTGATAAGAAACAATCATCAAATTTTCTATTGATATCCATATGTGTTATAATTGCAACAATGAAATTACTTTAATAAACTTATCTCCGTCTGATGTCTTCATAAATACAGTTTTCGAAGTAAACCATACATACCCGAACAAATACTCTTTAGCCAACAGTTTGGAAACCCAAAATAACTTTCGATTAGTTGCGGTTAATTCATGATTTATGAAGATCAATTTGTCTGGGAACGAACTATGGATTTAATTAGCATTTAAAAGATTATTACTTTTAGCTAACGATTTTCAATTTTTAATAAAATCTCATCTTTGACTATTTTTTTTTTTTAAACAGACGACTAGTTTGCCATTATCATATTTTGGATTCATTCGGAACACAATAGTAATTTTATCTACTGGATAATTTACATTTAATACAGAATATAGATTATACTTCTTATATAATATTTGCTTTATTTTCATCTTTCGTCATAGGAATCGCAATCATCGTAATATTATTACCCAACAATTTTTGTTCAATTTGATTATTTTAAAATTTTAATATGCCTACCTATTTCTCGAGGTTAGCCAACTTTATTTTTATTCGTGAAAACTTTTTATTAATAATTTTAACAAATTCTGATATCACGTTCAATTTTGTACTGAAGTCATCGATTTTATTTGAACTAAAAGACACAGAATTTTCTAATTAGCCTATTTTAGAAAGTAATTTGGATATATAATTTCTAATCAATAATAAATTTATATCTTCGTTACTAAAAGAGTTACGATTTTTACTACTAGTAAGGTTTTTTCATTTTTATTAATAAGAATATGCGACTATCCAGGAATGCTTCTCAGATTGCGCGTGAAATTTCCAGCACATTTCGTATGATATTTCCCTCTACAATTTATACAAACAATTTTATTTTTGTCAGGAGACACAGATAAACTACACTAATCGCATATCATGACATAATAAAGACGGCAACTTAATATTTGGTACAAATAACATACAACTATATCCACTATGGGAGTCAGATCGGATTTTTTTAATTACAATTATTTTGACTTCTTTGCAGAGATATTAAGAATACATAATTATTTTCATCTTTTCAATGGAAAAAAAAAAAAACGTGTAACGAGATTGCGACGAATTAAGTTGATGAGCTTACAAACGGTAAGATGCCAATATGTTATAAATCGTAATATAGGTAGTTTTAAAATTTGAGAGAGATAGCTGGTTAGTAACAAAAATAATATTACAATGACAATAAGGACCAACAAAAGTTTTACGAACGAACGATTACTGCATCATTTTGTTTCAGTCGTTAGTTAGTTGTATTACAGTTGTAGGTATACATAGTTCGAAACTTTAGATACGCCGAAAAAAAAAAAAATGAAGAATCTGAACAAATTCTCGAACGCATTGATGGGTTGTTGCACGGGGCGCACCCGTAAACAGAACAAAGCTAAAAAAAGAACAGAAATCGACTGAGGATCAAAGGCCGATAGAATTTATCGAGGCGAGTGGATATACGAAAATAAATTAAGTCAAACGGATGTGAATCCCGGCGTCGGCGTCTGCGTCACAGATAAATCATTTCAAACGGATGTGAATCCCGGCATCGGCGTCTGCGTCACAGATAAATCATGTCGAACTGGTGACGTGGACGACAGCGGCGAGTTGTACAGCAGCGACGACCACGACGTGACCGTCGTCGGCCACGGGGTGGACGGACGTTATTGTATACAACACTCTACAACGACCCGGAAGACGTGCGTCGCTTATATACTCGGAGGACGCTCGCCTGCAGTACTCGCAAGTGAACGCGGACGGCGGTTCGCGAACCGTGGTCGCAGGCCGGACACGGTGACGCGAGCTCTTCAAAGCCGCGGGCGCGAGTGGCGGCAACACCGGAAACGGTCACGGCCACGGCGAACCCGCGGTCGTCCGGTCATCAATTCATACCGTTCGGCGTGCGTCCGGCCAGTTTCTGGTGACGGCGACCGCCGAACGGTGTGTTCAATCTCCCGTGGTCGAGTTCGATGCGCCCGGCGCGTTCACGATGGTCGCCGCGCGTCCACCGTGCAACACGCGCGTGTCGCGCAACGGCCGTCGTCCGCGGACCCGGAATGCCGTCCCGGCGCCAGGACTGGCCACGATACCGCTGACCTCCAGCCACCGTCCACCGACCGACCGTACCAGTCTACCGACCGTCCGCAGACGTCTGACGACCACCAGCTTTTCGTCGGGCACATATTGCCGTTCACGACGTCTGACGATGTATCTTAGACCTTTGCTCGTTTTGAAACGGTATTGAATGTCCGCGTCAAAAGCGCCTTTGACCCGGGGACCGGTATGAGGACTGAATTCGACTGTGGATTTGTGTCGTTCAGTGGGCCCGAGGGTGTTGATGCCGCACTTGCCGGAACTCCGATCACCGCTAATACGCCGGTGACGCCAATGCATTCCGACAACTCGTCCCTCAACCCCTCATCCATCGTCCTTCAGCCGCCGCCGATAAGTACAGGTAGTTTATAACTTATAAATTGAAATGATCAAGGTGTTAACGAGTTTAATTTTATAGGTAACTATAGGAAAAGTTGGTATAAGAGAATATCTACACTCTGCAGGCTTGAAAACTTCTCAATATTCAACGACCGGAAACGAAGATTCCGTAATGGTTCGTATTACACTACAGTGACACTCGTGAATACGAAGCAGCGATTTTCCAGGGCCAAGACTTTGAAGAACGATTCCAGCAGTAAACATACGCAAGGAACAACGATCGGACCCGGCGAAGTAATGGCCAGAACGAAGCAACGATCGACGACAAGAACGTCGTTTAGTTGATAGAATAAGTATCCCACATATTGTATCATAGTCGTGCCTATACAAGTTCAACACCGTCGGCCAGTCACGCGATCCGGATTAAATTTGCCCTCCACACATTGTTATATTATGATAATCGATTTATAATATTAAAAAATATACGTCATACGTGATACCATAAATTGGCATTATAAACCATTTATAAAGGTAAGTCGCCGAATACCGGTGTACCGTATCATATTATTGCAGATATCATTTGACATTGTACCACTTTAAATTACAAAAGTAATAAATAACTTTAACACGATGAAATACAAAAAAAAATGTTTATAATAATAGAACTTAAAAATAGTTTAGTCAGATAGTAGATAATAATAAATCTAAATTTATAAATTAAATGAAAATTTCGTCATAAGTTGTTCATATATCAATAATTAAAAAAAGATAAGCAAGTGAGGACCAATTTGCTGTATATTATATATTATATCAAGTGGATTACTGTATTAAGCATGTTTAACTTGAATTCTCAAGTTCACATATTCCTACACTTCTAATAGATGCGAGTGGTATTATAATCGTACAGTAAATACGTAACATTTAAACGGGAAATTTCACAAATTTCAGATGCGAAAAATCAAGTTTTTAATTTTAAATAAGTGTACTATTAGGCATTTAAAAAAGAAAAAAAAACATTTTATTTTTTTTTAATATAATCCTCATTTGTACCTATATACTGTATTATATTATATTATTTTATAAAATGTACAAATATAATATGCGTTTACATGTATAAATAATAGGTACGTATTCACACAATGTGCAGCATACAACTGATAACCGAACACATAACCGAACCGAATCATTTGTCATAATATTTCCAAAAGGAAAACCTTTAAGATAAGACAAAATATGACCGAAATGTATAAGACATAGTTATAGTATTTTTATTACATACAAATTTTCGATGTATACCTACATGCATTGTGTCCATTTATGAGTGGTAATTTTTAATTTTGGTACCAATTTTTAGTGTCCACATCTATTATTAGGAGTTAAGTAATAACCATTAAGAGATTATAACTCCTATTATGTGCATACATTTTTTCCGGGGAATTTAAAAGTGTCCAATAATAGAGGTTTCACTGTATTTATTTGTATACATTATACATTACACCCAATGCTACTATATACATCTTTATGTGTATAATAAATATATATTATATATATTTATAATATATTAATCTTATTCTACAATTAAATATATATCTACTTCAACACCTTGTCGTATAAGTTAATTTAGTACTTGTCAACACGTCAGATTTAGTCACCAAGTGTAGTACTTTGGAGGTACGTCGTATCAAATGCGTCTTTTCAAAACGACAGAGAGACGATATGAACACCGCAGTTCAGTTGTCGCTGAATCTCGACATTTGATTGTATATGCATGGTCGGTGTAGGAAGTTTCGTATTATCACACAGCCGATTTACGGAAGTGTCGTGACATTTGTGAAAATCTGCATTATCTACTAGAAGGTACATAAAATCTGTTTATTATTGTTAATAATATTACCTATGATATATTATTCGAGTAGCTTCAAAGATACTAGAACAAACGCTCATCACGTGCTAGATGACCCCACACCAGACTCCAAAATAGCCCTAAGTATTTATTTTTGATCCACGTACACCTTTAATATTTATTTTACAGATAATTTGTACCATGACGTTTATGGTATTAAATACAACTAACCAACTCCCAACGGACTCATTTTCAATATTATTTAATTGAGAAAATCTACGCAATTTTTTCGAACGCGTTATGTAACTTTTTTTCGACGATAGTGTTCACCGACACCGATCTGGTGAAAACGACCAGAAAAATACACTGTTTAAAAATACTTTCCCCAACCATAACTGTAGTTGTCGTTATGTTAAATATGTAGTAGGCATTATAGTACATAATGTTGAAACAATAATAAATTGTAAGCCCGCAGATAATCTTTATAATATGATATGTATAAAATATGTTGTTTCTATTTTTAATGTTCAGCCGCATGCGCGATGCTTTCATAGCATTGTATTGCTCAAATAATAAATCTTCGGGTGCGACTAAACAAAAAAACGAATACGATATCTGACGAAATCCAATTTCAGCAATTTAACTGACCGATCCAAGTATAATAATTTATTGGTGTTAAATATACATTCCAATATTAAAATATATATAGGAAGTCAATTATATTTTTATGTTTTTATGTTTAAAATTAAATCTATTACTAGGTAAGCTTTACATAATTTGCATTACCTTCGGTTAGTAATGCTAATGCCTGATTTTAGTTTATTTAGGACATTTTTTTCAGAACATTTCCTAGTTTTTACGAATTTTAATAGATATTTATTCATTTAGAGATGAATTTTGAAATTCAACTCTAATTGCTTTCTTATAAATTTATGTAGGTACCTACAAATTTATAGTTTAACAGACGTAATTCATATTTCTCTTGTAATAATCTTACGTATCAAATATTTAATTGCACGTATAAAAGTACCTATAAAAAAATCATACTAATAATTAAATTTTATGTATAATATTTTAATATGAAACTTAATTTTCAGTATTATAATTCATATTAAATATACACACACATATTAGATATATAAACATTATTATTTTTTTATACCACTTTGCACCACCAATGATTACTATAATAAACTAATTTTCAGGATGATGCGAATTGCTAAGGAATACTCGTTGATCTTTTTTTATTAATATTAAAAATATCAACATTTTTCTTACTGGATATAATCTATTGTATTATTGTATTTTGGGGCACGGTTTGTTCTGTTATAAAATAAAATGTCTTCGATGTATCATAATAAAATTATAATTTACTATAAGCATAGATTATTTGAAACCTATACAGAAAAAAAAAAAAAATCTAAATTGAACTTATTTTGTGTCTCGATATAATGAAGCATTTTTCGCGAGGCTTGTGTAGCTCTATGGAATTTATACCCAATGCTATAACGAAATAATATAGCAATATGTTATGATTTATGGCGCAACACAGTTCAGTCTTCGCTACAATATTTTACGATACGACGACGTGATTTAATAATTTTCACTGCTTATTTGAAAATTTTATTTTAATTAAAACGGGTTTTTTGTTGTTGTTGTTGTTGTTGTTGTTGTTGCTACACAGTTGTTTTCCATCGCATAGAGAAGGTGGTACCGGAATAACTTTAAAGATTTTTTTTTTCAACTTATTTTAGCATTGAAAGTCTGAAACACGTCAACCGTTCCTGCAGCTGTCCACGTAACTTTTATCCATGATCAGCGAAATAATTCAATGATTAACAAGTACATCGTTTACAACACACGTAAAACTCACTAATAGTAATATTCTAATGTGGGTAAGCCCAATGATTTAATTACAAATCAACTTGTTTAACTATTAAAAAATAAAAATGTACACATGTAATGATTTTTGTAATTATAATGTAAAATGAATTTATTTTTAAACTAATATAAAATTATATAATAGTTAAATACTGACCTTACGAGAAATGTAATAATTCGTTGCCTTTTGGTCACTATGTAAGGTACACTAAATTTGAGAAACTGTTATGAAATATTGGTTAATCGCACCAATGTCTCTCATCAATTTATTTTATATATTGAGTAATGACCCTAAGCACCTATATGTATTTCTGAAATAATATTTTTACTAATTTAAATAGAGACAATTTAAAAGTATTTTTTTAAATAATTTTTACTGATAGATATAATAATATTATTAATAGACACACAGTTTAAATTTGCATCATGGTTAATTAATAAGGCATTGCATTTGAGTAACACAAATTAAATTTGTTACCAAATCAAAATTGCATGTACATTAATAGGATTAACATTTTAATTCACGAAGCCTTATAGATCCAATGTATAGCTATTTTCAGTCAAACTAGATAAGATGACAAATGTAAGTTTTGAATATCTACCTATATCATTGAACTTAACTTGAATTTCAGTGTAGAACCCTGATAAATAAAATATTATTCAGATAAAAATGAAAAAAAAATTATCAAAATACAATTTTAGATGAATTTTTTCCAATATGATTATAGTGGCATTTGTATATTTAAGATATTTAAGACATAATAAATGTAACTAATTAGTAATTACAAAATAATTCATAGGTCACAGTTAATTTAATAATGAAATAATCAATAGACAATAATTATTATTATTATTATTATATATTTATACCAAAAACATGATAAAATACATATTGAGTTTTATTGTCATATTATAGACAGATAATAACATAAAAAAACGATTGATTAAATTAAATTATTTGAATAAATGCACTTAGATACGAACGAGCTTTCTTTTAGAAAACGACAGTGTAAATAAGTGTTCTCTATTTATATTATCTAGATATGATAGAATATAAATGGATATTTAAATTATATAGTAAATACGTATATAAATCTCAATAATCTTAATTGTATCGCGTACCTTTTAAATTAATTCAATGACAACACAGAATATTATAATGTTTTAATTCACGGTACGTGTTTTATATTATAATATTATGTACAACACTCTAAACCATTATTTACGTGTATTACGGAACACACGGTCGCAAGCATCATAATAAAATTAATATATACAAACTTGTGATTTATGAAGTCGTGTCACAAACGATATGAGTTCAGATAATGTAAGAGATATATAGGTATACATGTATTATTATTTATGCATACGCAATACTCGAGAAGAAGGATAGAAGAGTTGGTTCGGAATATACTTGTGAACGTTTCACTTTTTGAGTTAAAATAAAGAAAATAACGAGAGTGCATATGAGATAAGACGTTGCGTTTTGTACGTTAAGTTTGGGCCTAGGAAGTTTGGTGAAAAGTTGTGCACGTGAGTGTGAATTATTCTTTCGGTTCACTGCAGCTCGCAGTGCGACGAGCGTATATTTTCATTCCGATTCCGATTGACGGGTAAACCAAAGTTTTTGAACGATTTACGAGACGGTCGATGAGCCACCGCCATCGTCATAGCGGTTAAAATGGAAAGTTAGATCGTCGCCGCGGGACAAACAATATTTTATTATGATACAAAAACGTCTTATTGTATAGGCGGT